GGGGCAGAGGGAAAGAGAGCCAGAATCGGAAGCAGGCTCCAGGCTCCGAGCTGTCAGCACAGAGCCTGATGGAGAGCTAGAACCCACGAGCCACGAGATCATGACCTGGGCCGAAGTCGGACGCTTAAGCGACTGAGCCACCCAGGCGCCCCAGTCATTGTTAGTGTTTTCGAATATTATGTGCTGTTCTCGTTGTCCTAGTTCATGAAAGGCATAAGAGATCCAAGGATGATACCATAATCGGTTCAAAGTTAGGTGAGTTTTCCTTACAAGGATACGGTAAAAACACATTAAAATAAAGTTGAATTTGCAGATGCTAAGAGTTTCGAGTAGTGTGGAGGTGGATAGATTCAATGATAGCATTTTCCCTCTATGATCTGCCCCCGTCCCTATTTCTGTGTCTGAGAAGTAATCATTATTGAGTTGTTTGAGTATCTCGATGCCCAAAGAGGCAAAAGCTGAAAGTCTAAACCTATAAACCCTGGGGTAATAAGGTCATGATAAGACTCACAGAATTCTTGGAATGTGGGCTATAGACAGTCCCTCCTAGAGCCCTCCTGAGCAAGCGTAGCACATCTGAAAGTGAGCGCCCTGGGAGGAAGACCACTGCGAGCCTGCCTGTGATCCCAGGGTGTAGACACATATTCGGGGATCGTAGTGCGGGAGTGAGTTCACTGTGGCAGTGACACCCGTTGTTTCGTTACAGATACACTTCTCAACCGTGTGAGATTGTGGTGGACTGTGGGCCGTTCACGGACCGAAGTGGCCTCTATGGCCGGCTGCTGCTGGAGCTGGAGGAGGCACTGAACTTTATCAACGACTGTAACATATCTGTGCGTTCGAAAGAGAGAGATTCGACTTCAATTTCTAAGCAGGTAAGCGTGTACAAGTAAGTAGAGAAAGCAGAAGTTGAGTTTTCCTGTCGAAACGACAGTGTGCTTCTCGTGAGGCTGTTGGTATGTTTTAGTTCCAGGACTTGTCTTCTTATTCCTGGACTTTTTTCATGGAACAGATCTTACCGGGTTGAGTTCATGGTCACCTGACATTATTAAATGTCGACCTCCTTGGTTTCAGGAGATAGGTTGGAAAAAGGAAAACAAGGAGATGGGTTGGGGTCCATTGTTGTTGTTGGGTCAGATGAGTTAGTCAAACCCTCGGGCTGAACGAATTCTTCTGCTGTTACCCGTGCGTAACTGGGTCTGAGCCCATCGCTCCTGAGTGGCACAGCTTTGGGAGGAGATCCTTTTTGATCAGTGGTTCCCAGAGTGTGGACTCCAGATCGGCAGTGTCAGCGTCCCCCTAGGACTTGTTAAAACAGATTAGGGACTCATCCTTTACCTGCTGAAGCTGAAGCTCAGGGGAGGGGTTCAGCTGGCTGAGACGTGACAAGTTCTCCAGGTATCCCGATGCATTGAAGTTTGAGAATCATCATCCTAGGACTTTGCAAACCATTTTTTTTTTTTTTTTCGTTTAACGTTTATTTATTATTGAGAGAGAGAAAGAGACACACAGAACATGAGCAGGGGAGGGCCAGAGAGACGGGGAGACACAGAATCCGACGCAGGCTCCCGGCTCCATGCTGTCCGCACAGAGCCCGATGCGGGGCTCGAACTCACAAACTGCGAGATCATGACCTGAGCCGAAGTCGGTCGCTCAACCACCTGAGCCACCCAGGCGCCCCACAAACCATTTGTGAAATAACGCTGTTACATAGGAGTCCACATTTCTCTCCTGATGATTTTTTTCTGGAGCAGCCGTGCTTAGACTCTTCTCAGCCCTTGATTTCTCATTAAGTCTGCATTCAACCCAGTTTGCCTTTTACTGGCCTGCAGACCCGGCAGTCCCTCAGTTACAGCCTCGTTAGGGATTTACATTCTGCTCTGAGCTAAGAGCGGAAGATGCGGCTCTCTGGGCATAAAGTGCAAGGAAAATTCTCTTGCTCTTGTCTGACGCCTCAAAGAAAATTGCTCTGCTACATAATTCACCTTGCATGTCTACCTGGAAGTCAGTGATTCCGTTTTACTTGTAACAACAGACCTGAAATTAAATTTTATTAACCTTATACGGGTGCATCTTTTATATTCTGTTAATGATTACCTTTTCTGGGGAAGACAAAAGGATGGTTCTGGGCATACATGTATATGAAAAAGTAGAGATTGAAAAGCCCACCGGCCGCCCCCCTCAACCTTGGGGCACTGGCCTCAGTGTCTGGATGAGTGGGGTGAATGTATTTTGAAAGGGCCGATTGGAGACAGCTTCAGTCCCACTTGAACCGTGCGTGAAAACGCTGCGTGATGTTATCGTTCAGCATTTGGCTCTTTCTGTTGTCCTGTAGATACTGTCAGACTGTCGTGCCGTATTGGTGGTCCTGGGCCCCTGGTGTGCAGATAAGGTCGCTGGAATGATGGTCCGGGAGCTGCAGAAGTACATCAAACACGAGCAAGAGGAGCTGCACAGGAAATTTCTATTGTTTACAGACACCTTCCTAAGGAAAATCCATGCACTATGTGAAGAGCACTTCTCTCCTGCCTCACTTGACCTGAAATTTGTAACTCCTAAAGTAATAAAACTGCTCGAAATCTTGCGCAAGTACAAACCGTATGAGCGGCAGCAGTTCGAGAGCGTCGAGTGGTATAATAACAGGAATCAGGATAATTACGTGTCCTGGAGTGATTCTGAGGATGATGACGAGGACGAAGAGATCGAAGAAAAAGAGAAGCCGGAGACCAATTTCCCGTCTCCGTTCACCAACATCTTATGCGGGATCATTTTTGTGGAAAGAAGATACACAGCAGTTGTCTTAAACAGGTAAATAAACGTCCAAGATTAGCGGCTCTTCCCGTAGTGGAGCGAGGCAGCTTTTGGCTTGGTGAAGGGATGCTCTGTAATCGCTCTGAGACTGGCGGAAGGCCCAGGTGGGTGGCCTTCACTCGATACCGTCATGGGTCGTGTGCGATGCTGTACCGGCATCGACGGGGGGGACGTGCGTGTGACTGTCGCGTTCCCGAAAGGCTAGGTCTGACGTGACCTGAGATTTTTTTTCTCTTGAGGGATGTCCATCGGTCGTGACCCGTTTGACACAGAGAGCGAGTATGGAAAACTTCCGTGACGTTACAGTGAAACACTTTTTGTCTCCCGTTTAGTTGTCAGATGCAGTTCAGATAGTTCACCCGTGACTGTGTGTCAGGCTTTGTGTTGAGCATTTCACACCAGGCTTTCCCCTTCACGTAGTTGGAGGATAAATTTTACCGGGGAATCATCGTGGTTATTTTGTTGCCGCTGCTACTGTTAGCTTTTTCCTCCTGACAAATGTCGATTCAGGGTTGCAGATCCGCGGTGGAAAAAGTTGAGAACAACTGGGTTTGCAGTTTGGCTTGGTTCATAGACTATATGTTAAAACTTTCTGACTCAGAAGAAAATAAAAATGTTGGGGAAGCATTCCGAGAATATTGGCAAAGGATGACCCTGCATCCAGACTAGGCCATGGATGCCCGTCTCCCCCCTCCTCTTTGGCAGAAGTTGATTCTTCCTGAACGTTGGCCCAGCCAGGGAGCGGTACTCCAGATCTGTGTCAGACGGTCTGGTAACGTGTGGTTCTTTCTGGTTTGTGTACAGATGCTGTGGTATCGAAGGGCCAGAAAGGGGCCTTATTTTGTGCTTCAGACAATCAGACGACGATCTGTTTCTCTCTGAGATCCATTAACTGGCCAGAGCTGATCTCTAAGAGTTCCGCAAGTAGTGATCTCTGAGGAGAAATTCGGCTTTGGTTCCTGTGGTAATTTGGGATTTCCACCCCCCCCCCCCCCCCCCCCCCCCAAACTGCTTCTCACTGTTTTGGGGCTTTGAAAACTTACTTGAGTAATGAGAAATTGGACTCTGGGGTAGTCATCTGGCGGTTTTTAGTCTGGTAATTTTCATAGTCATTGGGCCTGATCCTTATGATGAATACAAAGTAAAATAATGTTAGGTAGTGAATTACATTGGAATCCGAAGTTTAAGGTTGGAAAGGGACTCGTTGACTATCTAATCCAGCCTACTTATTTTTATAAAAAAGAAAGGGCCTCAGGAGGAAAAGTGATTGGCTCTGAGTGAAATTGCTAGGCAGTGGCAGAGACAGTTCTAGAATCCTGATATCCTCCCTCCTAGTTTCCAGTTCCTTCTACAGTCATGATGCCCTTGGGCATCACAGAACACTAAAAACCAGCGCTTTATAGTGGGCAGACCATCCGGGACGCAGACCAGGGAGCGCATGACCGTCAGGATTGTTTCTTAGAATGGGGGAGAGGCATTTCAAGGGTCAGCTCCAAGCTTCATTATAGCCCTGCCCCCAGACAGGATGGTTTAAGAATTAAATACACTTTAGGGGGCTTGGAAGAAATGGGGTACGTTTTCTTCTTCTCCCTCTTCTCTACGTGAATTCTTTTTTTTTTTTTTTTTTAATTTTTTTTTTTTTTTCAACGTTTATTTATTTTTGGGACAGAGAGAGACAGAGCATGAACGGGGGAGGGGCAGAGAGAGAGGGAGACACAGAATCGGAAACAGGCTCCAGGCTCCGAGCCGTCAGCCCAGAGCCCGACGCGGGGCTCGAACTCCTGGACCGCGAGATCGTGACCTGGCTGAAGTCGGACGCTTAACCGACTGCGCCACCCAGGCGCCCCTCTACGTGAATTCTTAAATGTAGAGCTCTGCCAGTTTTCACTGCAGGAATACTAGCCTGAAACCGTGTATCAAAAACCAATCAGTTATTTCCTATTGACTTTGAGGATCAGATTAATTGCGATCAGCTTTCATGAAAAGTGCCTGGAATTTAGTGTTGGATGATGAATCAAGAGCGGTTTGAGAGTCAACTTTATGGGCAGCTAATGAAATATACAATAGAGGTCTTGTTCCAGTAAGCTTTTTAATAAGCTTAGAAAAACTTCCTGAAATCCACATTCTTTCCTTCCATCAGTTTAATGGGAGGAAAACCCTTCCTCAGTGAATAGTTTCATGGGAGTCTAAGCTATTGTGATACATGGGCAGTTTTGTCCTCTCCTAATTAAAAAAAATGAATCATAGCTACTTCTGTGTGTAATGTAGCCATGTGTATAGTCTTAGGATTACACTTTTCCTTTTGCCTTACGTATGGGCTTTATGGTTTATAACTTACCTTTAATTTTGTTTGTTTTTTTTAGTTTATTTTTTGAGACAGGGAGTGAGAGCAAGAGAGGGGCAGAAAGAGAGGGAGAGAGAGAATCCCAGGCAGGCTCCGCACTGTCAGCACAGAACCCAGTGCAGAGCTTGAACCCATGAACTGCGAGATCATGACCTGGGCCGAAACCAAGAGTCGGACGCTTACCTGACTGAGCCACCCAGATACCTTGGTTTTTAACTTACCTTTTAGATATATATTTAAAATTTTTTTCTTCTAACGTTTATTTTTGAGAGAGAGATACAATGTGAGTGGGGGAGGGGCAGAGAGAGAGGGAGACGCAGAATCCGAAGCAGGCTCCAGGCTCTGAGCTGTCAGCACAGGGCCCGATGTGGGGCTCGAATTCACAGACCACGAGATCATGACCTGAGCCGGTTGGACGCTCAACCGACTGAGCCACCCAGGAGACCCGCTTTTAGATCTGTTTTTAAATTTTCCAACACTCCATGAGAAAGGAAGGTGCATGTATTAACTGTATCATAGATGAGGAAGTGAAGACTCTGTTTGTGATCCTCCCAAAATAAGGTAGATATGGCCCTTTTCACTGTGTCATTTATTAGTTTTGTATGACAGTCGAATCTGACATGCCTGGGTTTACATCCTCTCTCTACCCCTCTCCCTCTGTCTCCCTAGTAACTTAAATGTTTACAGAAAAGTTGTAAAGAGATTACAGAACTCCCTTGTCCCCCTTAGTTGGCTTCCCCCATCCATTGTTAACATCTTACATTATCGTGTACATTTGGCCCAACCAGGAAACTAACATTGCTGCGCTACTGTTAACCAAACTTCAGACTTCAGTTTCATTTACCAGTTTTCCCGTTAGTGTCATCGTCTTAATCCCAGGTACCATGTTGCATCTAGTTGTGTGTCCCTGATATCCACTGGTCTCTTGTATTTTCTCTTTTCCCGTGGTTCTGATGACCTTGACAGTCTTGAGGAGTACTGGCCAGGTAGTTCGTAGACTAGCTCTCAATTTGAATTTGTCTGATGTTTTTCTCAGGATTAAAATAGGGATTTAGGATATGGAAGAATACTGTAGAGATGAAGTGCCCTTCTCATCACATCGCATCAGGGGGACTCATGGTTATCGACGTGAGACATCACCAGTGACATGAAACCTCGTCACATGGTTATGGTAGTGTTTGCCAGGTTTCTCCTGGAAGGTGTTCTTTTTCTCCTTACTTTATTCTGTGGAAGCAAATCACTAAGCCAATTCATTTATTATTGGAATTCTTCTGTGAGGAAAACTTCTTCTTTTTTTGATTCTATTTATTATTTATATTCATTGACTTAGGTTCTTTTCTCACTGTGGACTCATCTTTATTTTTTTAAATATTTTCTTTTAACATTTATTCATTTTTGAGAGATAGTGCACGAGCAGGGGAGGGACAGAGAGAGAGGGAGAAGCGGAATCCGAAGCAGGCTCCAGGCTCCAAGCTGTCAGCACAGCCCGACACGGGGCTCCAACCCACAAACCCACGCACGATCATGACCCAAGCCCAAGTCGGACGCTCAACGGACTGAGCCACCCGGGCGCCCCTCACGTTTGTGTGTTTCGCACTTCAGGCTTTAACCTGACGTTAGGTCATTTACCTTGTTGCTCTCGTTCCGCTCTGAGCCGTTGGGGCTCCTTGAGGTCAGCTCCTGTGTCCCTTAGACATGCCCTCATCCTTTCTGTTGTTGATCAGCCATTTCGTCAACGAGCCCCGGTTCCTTTTATTTCTACTCACTTTTTTAGATGTGTATTTTGTGGAAGCTATTTAACTTTTACAAAAAGTGTTTATTATTTTGAGAGAGAGAGAGAGAGAGAGAGAGAGAGAGAGAAAACATGTGTGGGGGGAGGGGCAGAGAGAGAGTGGGAGAGAGAGAGAATCCCAAGCGGATTCCACACTGATAGTGCGAAGCCTAACATGGGGCTTGGACCCACGAACTGCGAGGCCATGACCTGAGCTGAAATCAAGGGTTGGACGCTCAACTGACTGAGCCACCCGAGCAACCCGAAAGTTATTTAACTCTTTAAAGCCTCAGCATCTTCATTTGTAAGATAGAAATTACTTCTCTGTCTCTTAACGTATGTAAAAATGGCTGTTTTATCACCTGATACAGTAGGTGCTGTTTTCTCACGTGCTCTACGCACACGTTTGGGGCGCGTAGTGTCTGTATACTAGAACTATCGGTGATGGTTCTTTTGGTGGAATCACAGAGGAATTACATTTGATTTGTTCATGTTGTTAAAAAAATGTAAGGCGTAAGGAGACTATTAAAAGCTATTGTTCACATATTTTAGTACTTGGCAGACATTTCAAATGATGTGTTTGTTTCTTTGAATTTTTTTCCCCATACGGTTGTCTGCACAAATTTGCAAGCTTAGTGAAATCACAGTTCTACTAGTTTTCTGAATCTAGTGCACATATTTCCTATTTCTGACCATGCTGCTTCATTTTTTGTTTGTTTGTTTTTTTTTTTAACATCTATTATTTTATCTTGAGAGAGAGAGTGAGAGACAATATCCCAAGCAAGCTCTGCACTGTCAGCACAGAGCCTGACGCAGGGCTCCATCTCACAGACTGAGATCAGGACCCGAGCCAAAATCCAGAGTCAGCCACCCAGCCCACTGAGCCACCCAGGCGCCCCTGCCCATGCTGTTTCTGATGTAACTGGGAGGCGATGCGTGTAACACAATGCATTGTGTGGGCTGGTGCCAACTGAGTGAGCTAGGTACAGAGATTGAGGGCAAACATCTAAAAACTCTGTTTTGACAGTGATGTCTGCTGCATATAAGACCGTTGGCTCTTGAATATTTGTTTCATTTTCTTAGTAAATTTTCACGGAAGTTGACAAAAAATACCGCTCTCTGATGGATTTGATACTAGAAAAAAATAAATAACTCGTTCTTAGCTGCAGATAGTTTGAGAAGCTCTATGCACTAGAGAGCAGCAGGGCTTATTGAACCGCTTGCTTGTGCGACAGCTGACAGAAACTCAGTGTGAAACTCAAAAGAAACAAGTAAGACTTCGTGGCCTCTGTTCATGGTACTGCGAAGTCTCTCAGTAGTTTGCGTAACTCACTTGTGAGCTCCCTGACCATCCTCGTTTCTCTGGAAGCCTATAGCTTTGTCTGAGGAGTGTGATTAGGCATCCCCTCATTTATCTGATAAAGTTTCCTCTCTAAACACCATCATCATAAGTATATAGCATTTAATTACTGCTTACAAGAGATTGGGTTTGTTAATGTGCATATCGTCTCTTCTGTCCTCTGCAGTATTGATGTGAGTTTCAGTAGGAGAAATACGTTTACTCTTAGTGCCTTCTGCTTCTCAGCTCGTTGAAATCTGCTAACGTGATCATTTTGGCAAAGTAAAACACATCCTTTGCCTGACTGAATTAATTATTTTGCCTACTGCCTGACATGAAGTGCATTTTTTAACCTCTTGATGCTTATTTGCATACACGATCCTTTGGAAGTACCTATTTCTAAGATAATAAATTTTGTATTTCAGGCATGCGATTTCTTGGCCTGTAACGCTTCTTTCTGTTACTGACATCGTAAGCTTATTATAATAACTAAACAAAGCTTGGAACATATTAAGGAGGTTTCTGATTCTGAACATTTTAAGTATTTGAATGTAGAACACGTGTAAACTAACCTAGACATGCATGTGTTTGGCTGATTTGGAGGCAGGGAGATATTCTAGATGACCACTCAAGGTTTCTTCCAGCTCTTTGATATTAGTCTGTTTCATGTATTTAAAAAAAAAAAAAAAAAAGAATGGTTTGACTTAAAAATGCAATTTTCTATTAGGAATTTATACTATGCGTATGACTTCAGAAGAACCATCTGGAATCACTTACGTCAGGTGTGGAACCATTTATCCCGTGTGCTGAGTTTTTGAATGTGGATATTTCCAAAATAGCTGTAATGGCAACACTAACTGTTAACCTCTGTCCCCGAGTAACGTGACCCCCCTCCTGTAGCTTTCTTCCATCTCTCAACCAGAAGGCCCGCTTTAGGTTACTGGCGTTCTGGATTAATACAGAGCAACAGGCAGGAGGAGGGACGAGTTGGGGAGCCTGTCTTCCGTGACAGGATGGGACGGGGACTCTGGCACCGACTGCCGTGCCGAAGTCTGGCGTGTTCTGTTGTGCAGAACTGGGGTGGGGGGGGGG